TTTTTTTACGATTGAGCAAAAGTTTATTAATATATATAGAATATCGTTAACATATTCGAACGATTTGTACAGACATTAAATATCTTCTCATTAATTAAACATACCAATAATTAAATGAAAATATTTTCTAGTAAAAAAAATTAATCGATCTATTAATATCGATCTATTAATTAATTGATCTATTAATATCGAAAGGATGGTGATCAATTAATTTTATAACTAATTATAATTAGTTATAATTTGATTAGATAAATAACGCTGATGAATGATATGTACAGAAATATTAAAATAAAAATCTGTCGAAGTAAAAAAAAGAAATCAAGAATGAAATAAAATATGCGAAAAAATATTTTAAATTTATTTTTACTTAAATAATTTTGAAAATTTAATTAAACATTTTATAAAAAAAAATAAAATTTTTAAAAATAAAGAATATTTTAAAAAAATTTAATTTTTAATATAAAGAATATTCAAAAAGAATTTAAGTTTTCAGTGGTGTTAATTACCGTGTGAAAATCGAAATGGAACATTGGCATTTTTTTCCAATGTTTTATTTCGATTTTGGCAAGTAACTAATTTCACTGAAAACTTAAATTTTCGTCTTTTTCGTTGCTATATCTGTTCGCGTTTCAATGCTACGCGTGGGAAATTGAAGATTATGAATTGGAGATTAGAAGTTAGAAATTAGAATTCAATCAATTAGAACAAAACGGGTTGAAATCAGATTTCGTAAATTTATTCTGACTAAAAAAATTCGGTGGTAGTATTCAAGTTTGAATCTTTTGTGTTAATAAAAGTAAATATTATAGCGACTGCACGATATGTGCAGACCATAAAACAAAAACAATGACGAATTTTCTGTCATTGGGCAGGTAAGCAGGAATCGAAGCGTTTTTAAAGTATGTAAATATCACAATTAAAAGTGATAACAAAAAGCCATGAGCTATTTATAGTTATAGATAACAATAGCGTTTTACGTCAAAATTTCCAAAAATTTTGAAATATTTATTAGACAGAAATATTTAAATAATTTGAAAGTTTGAAACTATTTAAATACAAATTTAAAAATTTGTGTCCACACTCTTCTGATTGTATACAACTAATTTCTCTTTCCAATTAAATATATAATAAATGGGAAAAATCAGCTGCGCGCTTAAAAATAACAAAGCGCAACTAAAACGTTTAGCGCAACGATAGACACGTGTGCTTCATTATTTTGCACTTTAACGTGCGTGATAACAAGTTTTTTTTATCATCAAATGACTAATATTGCTTCTACTTTTTATGATAGATAATTTGTTAGCGTTTCCTAGAACGTGCAGAAAAGTCTATGAGAAAGAATAGAGGAAGAGCTCAGTTGTACGTAGACAGAACGCGTAGTCGCGGTTTTCATTGCCATTGTAATTACATCTTCGCGCCTAATTAAAGGAATTCGCGGTATCCGATTCAATTATACGTCGACTGACAATGCAGCCGTTCATTATTGCGTTCGTCTTGCTCTTCTGCAGCATCGTCGCAACGCCGACCGTAACATTAGACATCTCGCCCGACCTCTCGCTAAACAAGTTAATAAAAATGATAGAAGAGAGCCAGGAGAGGACGGAACTGACGGAACAGCCATACAGCGCCAAATTCAATTTCGTCAATCTTGACACGGTAAGTAAACATATTTTTCTATAAAAATAAATGTCATTATAAACAAACGCTTTGACTTCCTTGCATGGCTTTTATGCTTCTTTTTATTTATAATATTTGATGTTTACTACTAATTTTGTACAGTAGTACTTGAATTTTCTTTCTTCTTTCTACATACAATTAATTTTTAAAATATGATTTAATATTTGATCACTTTAATATTTATTTTTTCTGAAATTATTAAAAACAGATATTTAATTGTAAAATTATGTTAACCATAAATCTACTTCTATTGCAGCTGTTTAATACATATCAAGAAATGTTTAATCTCGTAAAATTTAATTATTTTCGAAAAAATTCTTATCAAATTTTATATTTCACAGCATAAAGATTTGACATTTTGAGATTTATATAGTAATTTTTAGAAATCAAAATAATTACAAGTTTAATTAAATAACATTGATTTAATTTCATTATTTCAAAATTACATGGAAGTTTTATAAAATTAATTTAAAAAATGCTTTATATTTACTACAAAAAACGTTTAAGTAAAATTATTATTTAGAGAATATTATAAATATTCCAATCACATTTTATCCGAGAAACGTTCTTAGGAGAGGTCTTCTGAACGTCTTGAGAACATTCTATAAAAATTTAAGCTATGTGTATGGGTATACAACGTAGCCCCGAAGATTCTGGCCAGAATTTGAGATTTTATAGAAAATTTAATTTTTAATAAAAAGTTTCTTACACATAATGTTTTATAAATATAGGTCGAATAAATCTGGCTGGAACCTTCGAACCCACCTATGCATTTTATATATAATAAAGGAGAGGATAAAACTTTTAGGCGTTTTTGCTACCGCTCGGGGATTGTTTCCTTTCTACATTTTTTATTTATTTTTCATTGTAGAAACCAAAAATTATTATTATAATAATGCCAGACTTAAGGAAAAATTTATACATTAAAATAAAATG